CCCCCAAAAAAAAGAAAAAAATTCTGAGGCCTGGCGCCGCAACTGTTTATCAGCCTCCGAGATCAACGCTGCAGAAAATATTAATTGGAAACGATCTATAAAGAACGTTTCATTCCCGTCAGAAAAAGAGTATTTATCAAGCAAGAGTCAAGGTTCGATACCGAATCGCGTACGTCAGTTTGGACTGTTCATTGATGAACAAAATCTCCTTAAATGCGAGGGAACGATTAACAAGGCAAATATACCAGGAGAGAGTAAAAATCCAATGCTGCTTCCTTCAAAACAACCTATTATCGATCTAATATAGTTAGAGACGTGCACCATCGAGTTAAACATAACGGTATTAGTGACACATTAACGACCATTCGAGAGCGGTTTTGGATCTTACCTGGTAGAGAAGTGGTTAAGCGAATTCTCAAGAAATGCGTCGTATGTCGAAAGGCTGAAGGTACCCCTTATGGAGTTCCACTTCTCCCCGATCTTCCACCGTGTAGAGTTGCAGACGATCCACCGTAGGAGGGACCGCCAATAACACATCAAGAAGCAAAATACGCCCACTTTTCGCTCTTGTAAAGTTGGCTCCACATTTGCATAAACATTACTTATACCAATTAAATATATCCAATAGTAATAACTTACTGACCGAGAGTGAGGGCAGTACGGGAAAATATCCAACTGAGGTCTTGCTGTATTGACCGAGCGACAGCCAGGTTAAAACAGCAAGACCGAGGCTGGATATTTTCCCGTACTGCCCAAACGGTTGAGGTCAGTAAATTTTTTATTATATGGCATTGTTCGTTTGTAATAAAATGGGGGAAAAGGTCACGCCAGGGCAAAGTACAAAGTCCCAAACATTTGAAAAAAAAACCATTGTAAAAAATGTTCTCCTGGTTAGTAAAACTACTCTACAGCACAATTTATATAGAATACTAACACAGTTTGGATAGTATTTCAAAAAAATACGAGGTATTTCGTCATTTAATCAAAGACAACAAATATGAAAACAATAAAATAAAAATAAAAATTAATAAACAGTTTGGACAAGCACGTTTTTAGTTTGCTTCATTCATGCCGTCTCTTTTTATCTACCAAAACCAGAAAAATTATAAATTTGTGGCTGCTTTAGTTGTATTTTTTATTTAGGATGGTGTCAAATTCCTCCTGGCTATCTGCAAATAAAATTTGCAGCTCTTCACATATTCAAAACGCAATTATTCCTGACTGCTTTACAATAGTTATAAACATTGTAAAATTTACCTTAAGCTTATCATTTCGACTTTGCTTAACAAAAACGTATTGAGAAAGTGGTTTAACCACAGCAGTTGCTGCTTTTCTTTATTTTAGGTTTATTTTAGGTTTATTTTCTTCGTTTTGAATAGTTTTTAGACACTTTTTGCCGTTTGAAACTCGGCTCTCGTCGCAGGGCTATCAAAATTGCGTATTGCTCATGCATGGCAATACGAGAAAATTCTCCCTCGTCAGCAGCCAATCAAATTGCGCAATTCATCAAAACAAATGCTTGCCATATAATAAGAAGCGTTAATGTTTATTTATAAACAGTGATCAATATTCAGTCTGGAAATATATTATTTATAGCATAATCATACATATCAGATTTGATTGACAGGCTATCAACTTCGACCAATGAGAATTTTGTGTTATGTTGGCAACGCGTATTTCGTTTCTTCATTTGTTGTCGGCCGGCCCTCCTTTCCTTTCGCATGCCCAGAAATCTAAACCCGCGGAAAGTAGGGACCGCTCGCAGTCTATGCACGTCAAGAAAGAACCGGCTAAAGTACGTGAAGTCGTGTTCGTGTGGGCCTAACATATAAATACGTACTGCAACACGATCAGTTCAAGGTACGTTGTGTAGCATATATGTTGCTTGAAAAAGATCAAAAGCAGTATAACAGATAACGCCAGTTGATATATATTTACGCAGATTAAGCAGATAACAGAGAGAAGCACCGAGCACGTGTTTGCACGTGAAACGCAATACGCATACATGTGCGTGCATGATTTGTGCACTAAACCCCTTTAATGAAAGGGCAAATGGCAGTACTTCATTTTGTTACCTTTTATATTGCTACATGCAGCTTCGTAATGTAGTATCAGTTTTACGTTTAAATTCCCAACATTTTAAATTCTCTTCAAAACATCCGCTTGTATTTCGCCTGACAATTTACTGGGTTTTGCCCGACAAAACTGTAGATTTTAAACCGGGGGGGGATGCCCCAGGATTTACGCCGCTGATTTCATTTTCGTAACTAAGAGATTGGCGTTACAAAACTACTATAATAAATTAAATTTGTCGCTCGCCATGATATTATTTGCGAGGAGGCAACTTAATAGTTTGTGACGTCACAACTCTAGGGGAATGAATTTCAGGTTTCTGAATCTGCATGGCGGAAGCCTTTGGACGAAATGTATACAATATGTCTTAATAATGCGTTCAATTCATCGGAATTAAACGGACTTAAAACAGAAGTCTGTATAACATTGGGGCAGCTCCCTCGTCCCAGATACACAG